ACGATGCAGTAAAAGTGCTACATTCAATTTGCCAGCAAATTTGGAAAACTCAACAGTGGCCACAGGATTGGAAAAGGTCAGTTTACATTCCAATTCCAAAGAAAGGCAATGCCAAAGAATGTTCAAACTATCGCACCATTGCACTCATTTCACATGCTAGTAAAGTTATGCTTAAAATCCTACAAGCTAGACTCCAGCAGTATGTGGATCGAGAACTACCAGAAGTACAGGCAGGATTTCGAAGAGGCAGAGGAACTAGAGATCAAATTGCCAACATACGCTGGATCATGGAGAAAGCTAGGGAGTTCCAGAAAAATATCTACTTCTGCTTCATTGACTATGCAAAAGCCTTTGATTGTGTGGATCACAACAAATTGTGGCAAGTTCTTAAAGAGATGGGAGTACCAGACCATCTCATTTGTCTCTTGAGAAACCTATATGCGGGTCAAGAAGCAACAGTGAGAACTGGACATGGAACCACTGATTGGTTCAAAATTGGAAAAGGAGTCCGGCAAGGCTATATATTGTCGCCCTGCCTATTTAACATATGCAGAGCACATCATGAGAAAGGCAGGGCTAGATGAATCAAAAGTTGGAATTAAGATTGCCGGGAGAAAATCAACAACCTAAGATATGCAGATGATACCACTCCAATGGCAGAAAGTGAAGAGGAACTAAAGAGCCTCTTGATGCGGGTGAAGAAGGAGAGTGCAAAAGTTGGCTTGAAACTCAACATTAAGAAAACCAAAATCATGGCATCCAGCTCTCTCAATTCCTGGCAAATAACCACTAGATGGATCCGTAACTGGCTGACTGGCCGTACTCAGTGTGTAGTCCTCAATGGAACTGCATCTACATGGAGGGAAGTATCTAGTGGGGTGCCCCAGGGCTCTGTTCTGGGCCCAGTGCTCTTCAACATCTTCATCAACGATTTGGATGAGGGAATAGATGGGGAACTCATCAAATTTGCAGACGACACCAAACTGGTAGGAATAGCCAACACTCCAGAAGACAGCTTAGGATACAGGGGGATCTGGACAGACTTGAACACTGCGTGCTATCTAACAAAATGAAATTCAATGGTGAAAAAAGTAAGGTTCTACTTTTAGGCAAGAAAAACCAAATGTACAGGTATAATATAGGGGGGACCTTGCTCAATAGTAGCAGTATACAAGAGAACCTTGAAAAAAGTAGACTGCAGGAAGGAGAAGGGAGTCAAGAATGAAAGGGGGTTGAGGGACAGGGGACAAGTACAAAACTGGGTTTATTGAGAGGATTTGAGGAAATCAAACTGCCAAACAAATATATGAAGCTGGGGTGCGGGGGGGGGGGAGGGCCCAGTAAAGCAGCTGCAGGTAAAGCAGCTGCTGTCAACACTGTAAACGTTGGATGTTCCCTCTCTGACAACTGATGAAAATTGCAGCCATTTTCTCTTTGCTTTTAACATGTTTTTTCTGGTATTTAGAAATTAGGTGCAGAAGGGGTTGGGGGGGGGGTTGGGATGAAAGCTCAAGCTCAGCTAGCCATAATAATAGCTCTGCTTTGTGGGAACCCAAGGAGGAACTGATAATGTTTTGGCAGGCTGAGGAGCTGGGGAGAAAGCCCGCCTTTTAGGCTAATTGGAGAATATGATTTATGACAGCTTATTGGAGGTGGGAACTGCACTTTGTTACTTTGTATCTGGGGAAGGGAATTTAGTTTTGGGGTTCAACTATGTAGTACCGATACTTTGTTTCCTGAATAAAATGTTCTTTGAGGAAGAATTTGGCCTTGAAGTTCTTTTGATGGGTTTCATCTATCAGAAGCATGACAGCTGCAACTTACCTCTCCCAATTTCTCTAATGCAGAGAAGAGGGAAGGTGTTGAGAGGAAGGTTGAGAAAGCTGCCATTGACTTCTGGCTTGTGAATTTCAGTTTCAGAATTCTTTAGCCAGTTCAGGAATTCTGGGAGTTGAAATCCACAAGTTTTAAAGTTGCCAAGTTTGGAGACCTCTGCTTTCCAGTCACAGCCAGCATCTTGAATTGCACCCAGAAGGTACTGGGAGCCCGTCCAACTCACGCAACAGGGGTGTAATGTGGCTGAACAGGGGGAAAACCCCTCACTGTATGTGTTGCCACATTCTGGACCAGTTGCAATGCAGCTGGCCTTCAAAGGCAGCCCCATGTAGAGGACACTGCAGTAATCTAGGAGGGAAGGGATGAAGGCACGGATGGCCTCTTTAGATCGTTTCCCCTTTCATTTTACTTGGGTCTCGTGGCTGCATTTTGCTTATTATTTCTTACTTTTGTGTGTGCGTTGCCTGACATTGCTTACCACCAGAGGGGGCTTGCAGCTCCTGCCTTCTGTGGGGTGGTGGAGCCAGAAACTGGTTTTCCTCTCTGGGCTACATTATTCTGGCCTGCCTCATTGGAAGCCAACTCTTCCTGGGTGATTTTGGGAACTAAGTGGGTGCTGCTAGTGCTGGATTTATTGGTTAATTAATTTACATATATATTACTACTGTGTTTTATTTGTTTATTTTGATCAGCTGGCTTTGTTCAATTTTGTGGTAAGCCAATGTGAATAGTTTATGGTTTGGCAGCAAATGTGTTGGATATGTAATACTGAGATGATGGAGGAGGAGGAGGAGGAGGAGGCTTCTCCCTGGAGCAGGAAGATCAGATAGATTGACAGAGAGAAATTAATCAATCAGAATCTCCCCCAAAGCAGGAGATAAAGAAGATCTTGTTAACCCCCCCCCCAATATTTTTATTTTATTTATTTGTAATGTATTTATTTTCTCTCAAGCCTTTGGAAGTGCTCCGACCTCACAGTTCTCCACTGATGGCTGCCGCTGTATGCAGAGGACTCTGGTGGAGAGAGCCGTTTTCTCCCGGCTTCTCTCTAAAGGCATCTGTCCTGGGTGCTGATGGATTTCCCCCCTATAATTAAGCAGGCCAAAAATAGCCTTGAGGTCTGCTGAACGTGGATGGGAAGTCTGAGAGGAAATAGCAGCAGTCTGAGAAGGGGAATGGCATTCATTTGCCTTCTTGCAAAGACTCAGAACTTGAGCAAGGGTTCCACTACATTCTGGGTAGGACATCAGGACTAATTGGGGGGAGGGGGGAGGGACAGTGGTCACTGGCTGCCTAAGCAGCTGGGCAATCCTGGGAGTGGATCGCAGCTCTGGATGCGAGAAAAAGGTGGGGAGATACACGTCTAGAAGTCAAGTTTAGGTCACCTGCACTATGTTGATACTTAGGAACCCCCAGGACAGTTTTGTCTAAAGTTCTGTCTCTCCTGAACCAAGTGGACCCAGGTGAGTCTCTTCCGAAGTGAGCCAGCACAAGAATGATGGACAACCTTGGGCCAGGATGGAGCCAGACAGCTGGTGCTTTATTCAGTTTTGTCTAGTTGCGAAGGCAGAAGGCTTTTGTTCTGAAGGTGGAAAACAGCTGGAAAAGACCAGTTCAGAGTCAACCATCCCCAGGAGAGGAGAGTTTTCCAGAAATTTTCCAATAATCCGAGGCGATTAGTCTGGAGGACGCTGGCCTCGAGAGACACAGGAAGAGACGGGGGTATTTATCGGATGGAAAGACATTTAAAAAGAAAGCAAGGAAGCGATTCTGGGTACGAGAAGCTGACTCGGTGGCGGCATCTTCAGAGCAGGAGCGCAGTTCCTCGTGAGAAACTCCTCCTGGCCGCCACATTCTGCTCCCTCTGGGTGAATTCGCACACCGGGCTGACCCAAACCTTCCGTCCTATTTGGCTTTTTGCTCAGCCCCCAAATAAAAGGATGGCGGTAGTCGCTAGATTTTGTAAAATAAACAAACGAATTAATCCAGTGCTCTTACTTTACAAAACGTAGCTACTGTATCCATTAGCCCTGCTACTATATCCAAGAAATTTGCAGAGGTGGGAAAAGGGAAACGAAGTGATTTTATAAGGCAACATTTAAGCGCTGCCCTCATTCCCGCTGGGCAGACAGACAGGGAAGAGAAGGAAGCATTTCTTTGCAAAGCAGAAGACACGGGCTCGGAAGCCTCCGTTCCCCACGACTCGTTCGTCCCGGGCTTCGCCGCTCCGCCACGCGCCGCCCGCCCCCGCTCGTCTGCCGGGCATCGCGCAGCCCCCACGCAGGCGCGCCCGAAGGGGAGGAGCCGGGAGGGTGTGGCCGCCGTCTCCCGCGAGGGGGCGTAGGCCGCGCGCCGTCTGGTCGCACAGGAGACGGTGACGCACGCGTGACGCCAATGCCACGGGGGCGGGGCCATGCACCGTCGTCGGCCGGTCGCGAGGGGGCAGAGCGGAGCCTCCTCCGCCGAGGGCCCGGCTAGATCCGCCCTCCTCTCTCGGAGGCTTCACAGCCGGCCTCTCGTAAACAACGTGTCCCTCCGCCGCGCGTGCAATGTAGTCCCCGCCCGCCTCCCAGGTCGCGTTCCCAAGACCCGGTTCGCGTGTTTGCGTTGCACGCGTCGCCTGAATGCGGCCGCCCTGCTTGGCCCGCATCGCTTCGAGGTCGGTTCGCCCCAAAAAGCAGAGCTGGCCTGATACAATGTGACACCTGAACTGCTGCCGCCGGTTCAGCCCGGAGTTTCGCTCCCCGGCCGGAGAAGTGCAGGCCGACCGGGGTTGTGCGGCGGCGGGGCTGGAGCCTCTCGGGGCAAGGGCGCAAGGATCCCCGGGGGTCCGCCCGCTGCCTCGGCCAAAGTCTGTCCCCGCCCGGCGCTCCGTTGCTTCTGGATCGCGCCCAGCTCGCCTGCCCGATCCCCGAGGGCGCTCCGGGCGGTCCCCTTCCGGGCTCTGCGCGCTGCTGCTTCGCCGGAGCGGCTAGCCCGGGGTCGGTCGAGGAAGGGGTATCCCCGGGATTGGTCGGAGGCTCAGGCCCACGACCCTCGGCCCGGCGCCTTGCCGGCTTGCCCAGCCGCCCACTCACCCGTCCGTCTGTCGGTGCCGGGCTGGGGCGGGCGGAGGGATCCGGGCGGGGCGGCGGGGGGCGGGTGGAGGAGGCGGCCGCCCTGCCCGCCTCGGCCCGGCGATTGGTCCCCGCCGCAGCTGCCCCGCCGCCTCGGCCCGCCTGGCTCGCCCTGCTGGCTGCCGGAGGGGCTGAGCGGCGCGGCGGCCTCGGAGCAGCCAGCGCGGGAGGCAGGCACAGCAGCGCCCAGCCGAGCCGGGCCGGAGCCGCCGATGCGGAGCCCCGCGCGCCCGCCGCCCGAGGCTTGAGGAGGGGGCCGCCCGGCGCCTGGCCGGGGCCCGCAGGTGAGCAGCGCCCGCCGGAGCCGGGCAGGGGGAGCGGGCCGGTCCCTCCAGCGCCGCCGCCACGAGCCTCGAGGGTCGGCCGGAAGGCGGCGGGGCCGGGCGGCGGGCAGCGACGCGCCCTTGACGGCGTCCCGAGGATGGCGCTGCCGGGGGGTCCGCGGAAGCGGCCCCCACCCCAGCCGCCCCTGGGGAGGACCGCGGGGGGCCAGGCGGGGCGGCGCTTCAGCGGGGGGACCCTCCCCGGTCCTTTAGCCCGTCGGCCGAGGCTCTTCAGCGGCCCCAGCCACCCCTCGCTCCAGCGGGGCGGCCGCAGAGAGGGCCGCGGCCCCGGTCGGGAGGGGCTTTGGGCGCCGGTGGGGCGGGCGGGGAGCCTTTGGCCCCGGAGCCGGCCGTGATGAGGCGGCGGCCTCCGATTCCCCGCCTGGCCTGTCGAGGTCACGGATCAGAAAAGGCTCTTACCGGCAGAGTGCAAATGTAATGACCCCCCCCCCTTTCGCAGGCCGGCGGGAGTTTTGGCCGCGAGCCGCTTTGTGTGTGTTCTGTGTGGTTGGCCTGAGAAGGAAGCTGTGCGGACGCCTTGCTGGGGCCTGGGCTGCGCTCAGGTGTCCCTCCTCTAAGACGGGCGCTTCTCAACCCCAGTTTTACTGAATAAACCACCCTGGGCTGAGCTCCTAAGCCTGGAGCCACTGGATGAGCGGTAACTGGTTTGGTGTACTAAGCTGTGAATGATGGGATATGATGGGATATGACAGCTGTGTTTCGTTCACACCATATGCCAAAGTATAATGCGGTTGGTTTGCCTTAATGTGTTTGAGAATTGTGGCATATATCTGATGATTTATAATTTATCATATGGTATGATGGTTTATTGAAAAAGCTGTAGTTAACCCATGGCTCAGTCTTTGAACCAATTTGACTGCATTCCCATAATAAGTTAACATTTCTCAGTTTTAATCTTGATGGGGTGTTTTTTTTTGACATAGCGATACAGCCATTGTGGTTAATTTATCATTCTTCTGTATGTCAACCCAAAATTGGGTTAATTGAGTAAATGGTGCCTCAATCAGCTGGGGGTGATAAGCATGCTGTCTGAACCCAGCCTCTGATGTGAAAGCATCCAGGTTCTCACAGAATTGTAAGTTGCTCTCTAACCATTTCCCTGCCTGTGTGTGTGTGTGTGTGTGTGTGTGTGTGTATTTTGTCACTCTCCTGCTGAATGTGATGATTCTTTGAAGCTACTTCTCTTGGTTATGTATATCCATGGGTAAGATAATTTTTCTCAAATTGAATTTCCCCAAGTTTGGGTGACATTGGTCTATGTAAAGAACACCCAGGTTGGTCTGATATGCCAGGCTAGTTGGGTTGCTGGTTTTGGGTGCCATGCAGACACGGGGACTGAACCACCACTGGGCAATGCCATTTTAGGTCAGAATGTCTTGCAAAATTGGCCGGTGTATTCCTGTTGGATTATTTCCTAAACCATAGCCAAATTTATTATGCATAAGCCTGTTGTGAAACCAGCCACTGAGTTGGGTCTTCCACTTTCTGGAGGTGGTCACTTCTGTCCCCTGAGTTGGGGGGGGGAAGCGGCTTCTGCCAGCATTTCAGACCTTGCTTGCTGCCCCCCTGGCAGTGGGTCTCTGGCAGGCAATGGGCAGCGTCTGGTCTGCCAGCTGTGAAGGCTGGGCTCTCGTGCCTCGGTGAAAGTTGCCGCTTGGCCCACCCCATGAACACGCCAACTGTGCTGGTCAGACTTGTATCATTGGCAGGAGTTGGCAGTGGGCAGCCAGCCCTGGGCTGGGAAAGCTTGTTTTGGGACAGGGAACCTGGCAGGGGGGAGGGAGGCAGGTTCCACAGTTGAAAAGGGGCCAAGGAGGTGGTTGTGAATGAGGTCCACAAGTGGCGGCCTTTGCTCTTGTGTGGGATAAGTGAAATATGACTGACTGACTGACTGCCACAATGGTTTTGATTTCACCTTTTCATGTAGGTTGTCACAGCTGTGTTTGCACAGGGCCCAGGATGGATTGTTGTTTCCACAGCTGGGTTCCCACAACTTGTTTAGCTTGGTTCCTGAATGAACCCTATATGCTGAGCCCTCGGCCGGGCAAGGAGGCACTTCGCACCAAATTGCACAGAATTAAAATTAGCCACTTGGGGATGCAGCCACCAGGCCTCCCATTAAGCCACTGAAACATGTTGTGTCAATATAGCCCATGTTGCATTTTTTGTGAGTCTTCCTCCTGGGACCAGCAGCCCTGGGCTGTGTCTCTAGAGAAAGGGGGCACAGCGTGTCTTTGAGGAGGGTCGATCCGAATGGTCAGAGGAGAAGGAGGCTGAATGTCTGATTGCTGCATGTTGACCATGGCTTGATGTGGCTGGCATGCACCATTTATTCTGGTTATGTAAGTCGAGAGTTTGCGCAGCACCTGAACAATCTGTAGTGCTCCGTGCCATGGGAACGGTTGCTTCAGTTGCTGAGAGAGTCGCTGAATGCCAGGCCAGTGGTGGGCATGGAGAGATGGGCATTCCTTTGGCTGCTCATCCCTAAATTTGGGCCAGCGTCTTCCCAGGAAGGGAGAATCCTTCGTCTAGGGGCGCTTAATGGCTTTGCTGTTGGCTGTGGATCCGGAAAACGAGGCCGTGTGGAGGGGCTTGGGGGTGAAACTCGGCCTTCTCTAACCTGGCAGCTGTGTCCCTTGTATCCTTTTGGTCTCTTCCTTGAAATACACATCTAAATTGCCTCTTTGGAAAGGTTTTGGTGAGTGCCCCATTTTCAGGCTTCTCTGCTGATTGGGGCTACTGGAGCTTTGTGCTGGTGCTGAATTTCAGATCTAGCCACCCAGATAGGAAAGGAAGGAAGGAACATGTGGTTGATGCGCAAGAAGGAGATTTTGGTGCAGTTTGGACCGTTTCAGGGACTGGTGTAAAGGCTTGAGGGGGCGAGAAATCCTTAGAAGTCTCACGTCTCGAGGGCTACGGTTGGCCTTCCCCTGCAGCCTCCCTCCCATGTCTCTCTCAGGCCCAAACACCTGGGCCAGCTCCTTGTTTGGGTGTGTTTTACAGGCACACACACACCATTCGCACCCGCTTCAGGCTTGCCCAGTTGTCGCTTTCAGTATTGTGGCAGTCCTCTCCCCTCCCCGCCTGGCCTGGGAGAGAGCCCAGCTGCCATCTTCCTGGACGGAGCCTGTGGGCGCTTTCAGCAAAGCCAGCCACCTCTGCTGCAGGTGGATGCAGAAGCTCTCGCTGTTGCTGGTTTCCCCCTGCACCCTCCCTGTGCCCCTCCTCTGGGCAACCTTTTGGGTTGGCTCTGTTCTTCCTCCTCCTCTGCCCCATTAGTCGCATTTTGACCGTTTGCAATGCCGTCATGTTTGGTTTTGAAACTCTTTTATGGAGGACAGTGCTTTCAGTGGTGCCTGCCGCCTTCTGCTCTGAAGGGCAAAGATGGAGGGGAAAACGAGGTCAGAAACACGTAATCTCCTACTTATTTGTATCCCCAGGAGAGCCCGCTTTTGTGCTCATCTCTTCTTCAGTCTTAATGAAAATATTTGGCGTTGTCCCTGCCTTTTCTCCTAACTGCCGCCTGGCTGAAGGATCATCTGTTGTGGTGTCCACAAAGGCTCCCTTTGGGGAGAGGGTGAACTGCCTTTCGAACCTGGTCAATGGGGACAGACTGGCAGGGCTGCCCGGGGGGGGGGGCAGGCTGGGGGTGAGGGTCCTCTCTGAACCCAAATCGGGCTTTGCCGGTCCTTGAAAAGCACCAGGTGCTCATCGTCCCAACTCTGCAGGTGGCTGTGGGAAACCGTAGTTTGGGATCCTTGGCTGTGCCTGTGGTTTTGATTTTGCCTTTTGGTGTGCTGACCTTTAACATGATGTTTGGTGCTTTTTGCTGCTGCTCATTATTTTGTTTTTATGGTGAGCTATAATTTTCTCTTTTTTAATGTTTCCGTTCAGTTTTAACTGTTTACCTTTTGTTGGTTTAATTCACTTTTCAGTTGTTCAGTTTTAAATAGGGTGTAGACAGAAGAACAGGCTAAAAGTAAATCACAGTGCCCAAAAAAGAACAGTCTCTGGCTTCCCACATCAGTTTGCTTAATCACAGTTTAGTGAATAAGCCACAGTTGGCTGGATTTGTGTAATGTTACAACGCTTTAGAATTCATGCTTTAAAAACAGTAGTAGCTGCAGCCCCAAAATATGCTAAGTCAGAGGCATGCAAATCACACAGTGGCTTCATGCTGGAAAGCTGGAGAGTAACTTATTTAAGACCTGAAATTGTTGCCCAGCGAGGAGAGGTGGAGGACAAACTCCAGCGAGGCCTTCCCCAGACGGGCTTTCCTTATCTAGCTAGTGTCAGGCCATATGGCTCAGAAGTCTTCACAAGAGGAATGCAGAAAGAGGAATCTCTGAACAGTTTCAACAAAACCATCCACAACATTAGCAAATCTGGATGTGGTACAATAAAACCACAGTAATGCTACCTCGTTCCTTGATTTTGCAATCCTTTTTCCCCCTAAAATCTGGATTGCTAGGGTTTGGGGTTTCTCCCCTTGTAGCTCTGAAGAAAGAAAAGCCACTGGTTCTTCAGAGGCATAGCTCCATTCATCAGAGAGGTAGCCCACCTACATGCTGGAATTCCTGTTCAGCCCCTCCTCTTTTGAGGGCCTGTTTAGCTTTGGACATGTCTCTCTGTTGGCTTCCTTGGGATAAAAAGAAAAAAAAGAAGGGCTTGGTCACTTTTGGCAGCCACAAATTCTGCACCTGTGAACTATACTTTTTTCTGTTTGCCATAAAACTCTTCTCCCATCCTACAGATCAAATCTGATCAAGTGATCCTATTTCTGTACTGCCTTGCCTTACCAAGATTTGCATCTCCTGCCTAGATTGTAAAAGTTGGTACCAGACACTAACTCTCCCACTGCCGAAGGAGCTGATGGATGCTGATGGCTCCCAGGTGACACCAAGGCCCGTGGTCCAAGCCTGTTGTCTCAGGGGGAGCTTTGGGTTATTGTGCCAGCCCATGGCCAATCTCCAGTGTAAATGTCACTGGGAAGCATGGAGTCATTCCAGTTGCAACCAGTTAGGGTGAGTCTTGGTAAGTTTGGGGAGAAATTAGCAGCAGCAGAACCCTCACCAGCCCATCAAACTCTGTGGAGAGATTCTTGGTCAGGGAGCTGATGTTTTCAACACTTTTTAGATCCTTATGACCTGGATACCAATCAGCTTCTCTGCATTCTTTGCAAAGGAGCTGCTCAATCAAGTCGCTATTCTACAATGAGTGACTGAGGCCCCTGAGGCTCGAAGTGCTGCTGTTCTCCTGGGAAAGCCGATGCCAAGTTCTGTCTGCATTGGGTGGTGTCTAGCCTCAAGAATGTCTTCCCTTCCTGCCCTTCTCTGGGCAGCAGTACAAGAGCAGTTGATTTCTTCCACTCCAGCACCAGCACCATCCAAAACTAACCATGCCCAACCCCGCTTAGCGCCCCAGTCCAGACCAGGTCGGCCAGATGCTGCCTCTTGTTGAGTCTTGCCTACCAGCATAGAGCTGGCCCCATCCTATTTTGACCTTTCGCGGGGAACTCCATTCTACCAAGCAAAGAAATAGAGTACAAAATAATAAGCCATTTAAAAAAAAAATTAAACGGTTGAGATAAGGAAAGAATAAAAGCAAATGTAATTAACTCTATAACAACATCCACAG